TTGTTTCTATATTTATACTGAAGTGTGACTAAGCGTATAACATTGTAGCTGTATTTCTTCTGAAGTGTGAACTAGCGTATAACACTGTTGCTCTATTTATACTGAAGTGTGAATTAGCGTATAACATTGTTGCTGTATTTCTACTGAAGTGTGAACTAGCGTATAACATTGTTGCTGTATTTCTACTGAAGTGTGAATTAGCGTATAACATTGTTGCTGTATTTCTACTGAAGTGTTACCTAGCGTAACATTGTAACTATATTTCAACTGAAGTGTGAATTAGCGTATAACAGTGTTACTATATTTCTACTGAAATGTGAACTAGCGTATACAATTGTTACTTTATTTCTACTGAAGTGAAAACTAGTGTATAACATTGTTTCTATATTTTTACTGAAGTGAGAACTAGCGTATAACAGTGTTACTATATTTGTACTGAAGGTTGAACTAGCGTATAACATTGTTACTTTATTTCTACTGAAGTGAAAACTAGTGTTTAACATTGTTGCTATATTTCTACTGAAGTAAGAACTAGCGTATAACATTGTTACTATATTTCTACTGAAGTGTGAACTAGTGTATAACATTGTTATTATATTTCTACTGAAGTGTGAACTAGTGTATAACATTGTTACTATATTTCTACTGAAGTGTGAACTAGCGTATAACATTGTTACTATATTTATACTGAAGTGTGAACTAGCGTATAACATTGTTACTATATTTCTACTGAAGTGTGACCAAGCGTATAACAATGTTACTATATTTCTACTGAAGTGTGAACTAGCGTATTACATTGTTACTATATTTATACTGAAGTGTGAACTAGCGTATAACATTGTGGCCGATGTCTATTGAAGGAGCCATGAACTATATGTTGTTGGTTTGAGAAAGAGAAAATGCACCGAAATGGACAATGAAAAATGCGTAAGAACGGAAAAATTTCATCCTTATAGTTATTCGATATTATGAAGAGAAGGTGCTTTGTTTCGTGATGTAGAAACATTAAATTTCACTAGAAGAGTGAACAGTTTGATATTATATACGGCTGCATAACCAAATTGAAAAATATGAAAAAAATATTTAACTCCCGAATAAATATAACTGTTATTCGTCAAGAAACGAAAAATATTCTGCTCATTACGTTGTATTTATATATCTATTTTTCTATTTTTATTATATTTGAAACCTCGGCTTCTGTTAACAGATAGTTCATCTAACACCTAAAAAAATGTTGACACAGGGAAAGATGTATAGCCATGTCAAAATAAGAAAACGTCAAGGCTACCGTGACGTCACAATTGACAATGTCAATTGTTCCTTTTTTGTTTTACATTAAGTCCTGTCTCCGATTGGTCGCGGTAGAAAAATGTCAAATGTATTTTACTGTCAACCCCTATATAATTTAAATACACCTATTGATGATATCTGAAATATTGAACTCATCGTCGTTAAATAAATCTGAATTTATATAAATTTTATTTATTGAAATTTCAAGTTGTTCCCAAACAGTTCAAATCTGATATATCAGCTAAAGGTTGTACAGTTCACAGGTCTATACTTTCTACTGCAATGCGTCATGTGTTCTATAGCGAACTTGGTCCACATACTGAGAATGCGCTGTGGTGGTACATGAGAAAGCTTTTTACAGGTCTTCTAAACAAATGCCACACCGTCTTCCTCGTGAAACTTCCTCATGGAAATGTTGTTGTTTTTCACTTGACAGTACATTGGGTAACAATGTATTTCCGTCAATAAGCGGAGAACGTATAACACGTAACCATGCCTCATCAAGTTCCACCCGGCTGTCAATGACGACCACATATTGTCAGTGTGTGAAGCGTAAGGCGTTAAATGGCACACACAACTGCTGCGGTGTGATTTATTCCGCATTTCAATGTGTCGTTCACCGCAACTGTGACGCACTGATTATTGTTTATTAAGTAATCCTCATGGTGATTTTTAAGAGAAAAAAATTAAAACATAAAATAGTTCACGAGATTGCATTTACGTAGTTGCCGCGTATCTTATAGAATATCTCAACCCTTTGACTTCAACCCTGACATTTCTCTTTATGAAGTCATACAATTGATTTTTTGCTTCTTGATGATTTTCCGTTACTAAGATTTTCTTAATTCGAATGTTTCAAGTAAAATTGTATTGTACGGGCTGATCTTTAAGATACCAAAGCTTTGTCAGATACCTGTGTAATCTTGTTATAGTAATACAAGCAATTTTCAGACCATGAAATACAACGTTCTGTATTGCACATGTGTAATACGGAATGCTGTATTTACCTACTAGCCGGAACTACTTTTTATGGGAATCCCCTTGTCATGGCGAACTGAAAAATCCCGGTATTTGCCAAAAATATCGAAGTTTATAAAATCTTTGTATCGATCTCTACCAAATACGGAAGGTATGTGATGAAAGCAAGACCATTCACTTGCATATATATATGAACATAACGGATCATGCGTAGATTGTCCGCCGTCTTCAAAAGAAAGGTTTTTGAATCGTGATCGATTAATGAATTCTTAAGCTATCATTGCGAAGTTCATGCAATAAACAAACATAGCTAAATATACATCAATTACAAACTGTCTCCCATACTGTAACATAAACATAAATGCAGTTTTTGTAAGAATTCGTGAAAAGAAAGCAACACAGTGGTACAAATGTTAGGTTATATACGTAAATATAAACATACAGGTATACGGGCACTTGGTGTCTGCTGTATCAGTCAAAGCGTACACAGGAGTGGACAAAATTATGTCCCACGCTGTGGTGACCCGTAGTGTTTAAATGTCCACTTCCGATATGTGTGGTGAATATCCTCTCGTACCTTTGATGTTCCCCGGCCGTGATGAAGAACAAGTAAACCCCACAGCTAACATAACATGCCACTTATCGAACCACACATGCATTATAGGCGTTTATGAATATTCATCAGCACAGCTATGGCCGTAATTGACACGTGTACGGTGGCTTTATTAGTTCTCACTGAAGGTAGATCTTAACGTGGTTGCTAGTTATCCGACAGGGAAACAATGGGGTCTTCTCCATTTAGTTTGTACCTACGTACTCGCTTCCAAGCATGATTAGTGTTAACACTCCTGTTATTAAAATTGTAGAATTCTTTAAGATATATGAACACATTTATCTCTTTATCGGCAGGAGAAAATGTTAAACCAAATATTTTGAGATGTACAATCGTTAACTCACACACTTTCCCCATACTATATATCAGAGCGCTTACTTATGTCACACATATCTACACATCCACATATTTATAATCACTCCGATTTTCCTATCATGAACTTTCTCTTTCTTGCTAGAAACATCCCTGCCTTCAAAATCTACGATGGTTACATGTTGCCGAAGATTCGGTATTCAAGAGATTCGCCTGCTATGCTGACGAATGAACTTACAACACAGAGTTTTCAGAGATGCAGATTGATGAAAACAATATTTATTGTCGCCGTCACGACTTCATTGGGGGAAAAGCTATTTCTTTGTGTGATAGGAAGGGTGATATGTTTATTATGTTCGTGAATGTGCCTTGTTGGTTCGGTGTATTAACCCAGTTTCTCGCTTTGAGAATGCGACCTTAATTTGCTTGCCAGGTGTCGTCAAAGAGGTAGAAACGCTTACCCTTCCGAAACACCTGGTTAGTAAGCCAGTTTCTCGCTTTGAGGATGTGACCTTAATCTGCATGCCAGGTGTCGACAAAGAGGTAGTAACGCTAACCCTTCCGGAACACGTGGTTTTATTCTTCTCGCACATTTTTTTTAAATATTTCTTTGTTCGTCTATCAGATTTTAGTTTAAAATATCGTTTTGTTGACACTTGGATGTTCTCTTTATGAATCATACCATACACATCGACACCCCATATCTCCTCACATATCGCGTCATCCACCATTGCACACATTCACGTGTGTCAGATTGCCTACCTATAAATGCAGTAGAAAGTAAAACCTGGTATTGATCCAGTCTCACAACAGGCATTTGCATTGATCGAATATATGGGGAAAACAAACTCCGACCGATGATATACTTAAAGTCTGGATAGCTTCCAAAAGGACATAGTGCCACATTCTAAACGCTATTGTTAAACAGTCGATCGGTTAACGTTATACAAGCAAAACGCCAATGGGTTTTTTTATCTGGTTTTAAGTTTTTTCAAGTCGGCTGTACAAAGTGTTATCTAAATGTTTAATGAATGTGTTTGTCGCTTATGGGTGGTTGGTCTTTGATGTGACCATATCTAAATGCTTTTTTATATTATATTTGTATATTTCGACGTCTAAGTAATTTTGTGGAGTTCCTTTTGGTGTCTCCTCGGATACTTTGGACCTGTTTATAAGTAAGATACATAATATCAGACATGACAAACGTAAACAAATATTGTAAATAGCACGAAGTGAACGCTTTGAAAGTTTTTATTTCTACATAAGATCATTAGAAAAATGAGTTACCTATTAAGAAGCGGTTCGTACATACACTAAAGATCATGATTGCTTCATAACTATGCGTAATTATACAAACATATTTCATACATAACTGGTCATCCCATGTGTGTCATATCCTCAAATAGACAGGTAGGATTTCCGCATATCTTATGGCATCCAATAAGCCGTTCTGTGCCATGGGAGCCTCAAATGAAAGGAACTGTTACCAGACCTTGTGGTTCCGACCTGTTGGACGTCAGTTGTGTTGTCTTACCTGAAATAATATCGAGATATCTCAATATTCACACGTTGTGAAATGTGCTTTCGACAAAGACTATGATTTCACATTTAACGGTTTTACTGTAGAGACTCCGGCATGAAATATAGTTTATAATCGTCATAGGGTATGTCCAAATTTCTATCTGGTAACATTGTATTTATCCTTCTAAACTTTTGCAGCAATTTTTTTGATCACTGAAGGACTGAAGGGTTTAATGTTTGATAAACATTGTGAATAAATTAATTGTTTTCTTTCTTTAATTTTCAGATAGACGCTACCACAGTCAGCATGAACTCGTCTACAGAAACTCCAGTGGTAAATACAAGTCTCTCGTCAGCCATCTTGTTCAATAACATGACTACCGATTTTAACACAACGACCGCTGCAAGTGCGAACTCAGCGCCCTCTATATATGACTATGGGGAATATTGGGCAGCACTCTACATAAACAAGTACTACCTTTACGTCATAGTGGCAATCGGGTTACCAGGCAACCTTGCAGCTGTAGTGACGATTTGTAACATGCGTCCGCTGACGTCATCATCCGTATACATGGTAATGCTGGCTATAGTGGACAGCGTGAACCTCGGTTTGAAGATTCTCTACCTCCAATTGACCTTATACAATGTACAAATGGGTCACGCTGGCTGTAAAGTCATGTTTTTCTGTGGTACATTCTTTATGCATTATGCCAACTGGATCCTAGTTGCCATGACGATAGAGCGTTTCCTGGCTATCTGGCTACCTCTAAAGGTGTCGGAGCTATGTACACGGACTCGTGCATTCTTGGTGATGGGCCTGATAGCTGTGCCTCTCTTGGGTCTGAACCTCCATTTTTTCTGGTCCACTCTCGAGGTCTGGGACGACTACTACTCCTGGGACTGCCAGTTCCGGTCCGAGTTCGAGTATTTCATGACCAAGATGTGGTACTGGATTGATGGCGCCGCTTACAGCCTCATCCCTTTCATCATCCTTGTCATCTTCAACATCCTCATCATCGTCGGCATCAGCCGAGGGCATCGTGGAGTTGTCAGTAAAATTGACAAAACTCAAATGACGGAGAAAATGAAACAACAACAGCAAATCACCATCATGTTGGTGACGGTATCGCTTGTATTCGTAGTACTTACGATGCCCAATTGCGTCTTTTTTATCTTCCAGAATTACTGGGATTACACAAAGAACCTGCACGAGTATGCTCGGTATTTCCTCTTCTATCAGCTCGTCTTCGTCCTGTCGGACTTCAACCACGCCATCAATTTTTATCTTTATTTCCTCAGCGGCAGGAAATTCAGGGCCAGGTTTCACGCCATCATTTGCATCTGCCGTCGGAAACAGATCAGTCGGCGACTCGGAACAACTATATCGCACATAGCATCTTCACGGATGTCAGCAACAGAGATGACAAATGGATACTCACGGAGACCTCCCGAAAGAAAAGTGTTTAACGAAAACTCCCGGGGATCATCACCAAACACAATTGGAACAGAGAACAGAACTGTACAGAAATTAAACAATATTTGTGAATCGAAAAACGATAAAGGAAAACTAACGGAAAATGAATACATGTAAAATTTGATTTGTTTGAATTTTTATTAAACCCATGGGATCATCGGTAACCATTGGTGTATGATGCATACATGTAGATCACAAACCACTAATGTTACAATTGTTTTCGCCTATATCATATAATAAACGGAACAATTAACTGTTTCAGAGTGCATTGTGTTTCCCGACAGTAAGGGGAAACTATACAAAATAGAACCAAGTTGTGACAAGAGATTCGTTGTTATAAACAATTGATATTGTTATGATGTAGCGTTACATACACTGAGTGAAGAAAACAGTTAAGACACGTGAGACACACCTTCAATTTACGTACGGCGTATGGAAGGTCAAGGTAACAAACACATCGTCGGTTCGCTTACGGACTATGATAGACCAAAGAGAACGTGCTATGGCATTCCTTCGGTTTGTGTTCGAGCAAGCAAGACCAAAGAAACATTCTACAGACCTCCGGGTTGAGAACGTGCAGGTGAGACCAAAGAAACTGATGCCATTGTTTGTGGATATGCGAGGCACTTGGTCTAAAAATGCCCCTTCAATCAATGGAGGGATTCTTTTATGAGGACTAAGAATTGCGGATAATTATACATACGTGTAGTCCCGATGAGAGCCAGTCCTTTTATAGAGCTAACTGTTTGATATTGGCACCTCATGATTACTACATGCAGAGCTAAATTAGATGAGAAAACTCTACGTGTTGGTATAGAACAGATATGGTAAAAACGCCGGATCATCATTGACAGACATGTAATTCCTATTGTCCTGTAGTTGCTGTATAATTCGCTGACTCATAATATTATATGAGTATATGTCACATTAACAAAAGATATGTATTTACAGTCTTCAAGTGTAACAATTCAAGAGTTTTCAACAGATATCTTAACTTGACAAGTTAGCCGATAAATAACGGTACATTTATATAATCATAATCTTATCACTTGGGTTCCTTTTCATGTTCAAGTAAGAAAACATGAATGGACAGAAGTTGATGCAGATTCGTCTTTACCATGCAGGTACGTTATTTTTTATTTTAAGAGGTTTAATCCGTCCAAGCCAAATATATGTGTTTATGATAGTTTCAAATTAATTCCCCTGTCAATTTTTTATGAGCTTTGCGGCCCATAAATTGGACACTATTTGTTATCCTTCTCAGTTATAGTCGGAACAAGGACACAAAGCCCCATCAATCAAACAATCCTTTTACTTCTACCAGTTAATGACCTACTTCAACTGGTTGAAGATTATGTCATTGTGGTTGTGGCATGAAAAGAAAAGAAAGGATTCTTTCCTCAATTGACTTGTAGTGGTAACCAGGTGTTTGGGGTTGATGGCAACTTTACTATGGCATATTTTGTAGAATATGGTCAGCCGTGCAACTGTTCTACGACCAGCATGACTGTGCCATTTAAGGTGATCTAACATGTAACCAACGTTTGAGGTGTTACGATGTCGGTTGGTAACATAACGGGCAGCCCTACGCTAACCATCTCTCTCTTGTCAGTGTCTTTTTTCAGGTATGAGTCCCAAACTGGACTAGCGTATTCTAACTGAGGGCGAACTAAGGATGTATACGCCTTTTTCTTTGATATCAGTAGATGATATCTTTAGATTTCGACTGAGGAAGCTCGTGGTAGTATTGGCTTTTCTGGTTATATTGCTGACAAAGGATGCAGGATCTGATGGTGACACCCAGGTATTTGGCTTCTGACACTTGTTGGAGTTCGTGTCCATGAAGTGTGTACGGGGGGACAATGGGGTTTCTAGTTCTGGAGATCGAAAGAACCTGACATTTGTCGGGATGGAACGCCATCTTCCACTTCCTCTCCCAATGACCAAGTCTGTCAAGGTCTCTTTGCAGGGATTTTCCATCTCTCTCCGATGTTACTGCGAGATACATAATGGTATCATCTGCAAAGAGCCTAATGGACGATGAAATGCACTAAGTAATGTCATTGATATAATAAAGAAAAGTCTCGGCCAGAGGACCAAACCTTGAGGTTCTGATCTTACTGGGGCAGTGTTGGATTTTCCCCCTTCAACTATTACTGATTGAGTCCTGTTACTTAGGAAGTTTTCAATCCGGGTGTTGACTTTGCCCCCTATACCATAACTCCTAAGTTTGTGAACTAGAAGTGGGTGGCTCACCTTATCAAATGCCTTACTGAAGTCCATGATCAGAACATCAGTTTGCTTCCCCTGTTCTAAGTTACTTGTGATGCCATCAATGAATTACATAAAATGACTCTCACATGGTCTGGATTGTCTGAAGTCATGCTGAAGGTGGTGAAGGATCTGGTGTGTATCGGCATGGTTTATGATGTTACTGACAATGATGTGCTCTAATAGTTTGCAACTGATACATGTGAGGGATATTGGACGATAATTTGCCGTTATAATTCTTAGATGGCAAAGTTGATAAGGGTAGGCTTTATAGTACTATGGTCACGAGTTCGACTCACGATGTTTCTTTCAAACATTCAAATTTCGGACAACTGTCATTCTGTAAATTGCATGGCAACGTGTGATTTTTATGGAACACTTCTTTTTGAAAGGGCTTAAATAAATAATTTGCAATTGTTAAAATGGTTTTATAATAGTTTAACTTTAACTCCATTACCTTAGGTAAAATGATATGTTTGTCGAACTGGAACAGGTGTAAATACGTCAAGGTCTATCATCTGAAGGTATCGAGTTCGAATCATTGCAGCGCTAATGCAATTTTGCTTTGTATATTTGTCTTTATCAATGTATCTGTTATGTTTTGTACATAATTCGTGATATTATACTATGAGAAGTTCGTTGAAGCTCTCTTGCAGTAATGACGTGATTACAGGTAATTTTGTACAGGTAGCAAAATGTAAAAACATATTACTGTCTCAAACATGTATATCATATCTATGTAAAACATTTGTATTGGCCTTTTCACATTCTCAGGTAATAAACTTATCATGTTTAAAGAATCGTTTATTTTACCTTCTATACAGTTATATAAATACACGTATGTTTATAAATAATATGTAATGAAAACTCAAAAGTATTCATTTAAAGTGTTCCAATACCGTCATTTCGGTTTAATATCATAACCTGCCTATATGTTTTCTGCATAAAAGCAGCACAAGCGAGGCGAGGAATACAGTGTACCGGCTACACATGAGCGAGTACAAACACATCTACACTGCTGCTTTGTACCATTTGGATACGGTGTAATGTGGGTATTGTACTAACAATGTTTTTTTCGTATATTAGCTAAGGCACTGTAACAAGGATTATAACCCAGGTGCGCAGCACATATATGTCACCTCCTAACTTAACAACTGCTTATGTCGTTACAATATGCGTATCAGTTGTGATGAGGGCGTAAGAATTGTACCTGCTGCCCCCATTGCATGATCGTAAGAGGCGACTATGTTTGGGATCTTATCTTTTCTCTTCTTTAAAAACAAATTTCTTCTTCCTAATGTCACCCTTGACAATGCCTCACTTGAGGAAGGCTTTGGGTTCTGTCCCCTGACCGAGACATACCAGAGTCTGTAAAAAGGGTAGTTTCTACTCCTGCTTAACGCTCAGCAATTTGGGAGTGGGACGACTGGTTGGCCCGTTGTCAGTATAATGTGACCGAGTGGGGTGTCCTGCTGGGTGTCTTCGGCAGTATGTTTCAGTGAGGTAGCACTATAAAGTCGGCATCAGTTCCGCGCTATCACAAGGAGACAAACATGAACATATCGCAGCCTCCCAAAACACACGCATACACTACACGCATGCATCTTGCACAAAGGGAAGGCCGTTCTTAAATGACCATAGCTGTTGATAGGACGTTAAACAATACTAAACCAAACCAAACAAAACAGTTGTGATGACACAGTTAAGAACCAGATTTAATTGTAACCGGGACCGTTACACAAGTTCCTCAAACTGCCCCGCCCCTTAGTCGAAAATAATTCAGTGAAAAATATTTCAATGCCATAATACACTTTCGTATGTTGTTTGAACAGTCCGACATAAAGAGTTACCATTGGCATGACCTTGGCGTACAGTAGAACGCAATAGAATATTCCTGACATAATTATAAAGCACGACAAATGCCGAATTAGAGACACACAGCACGTGCAATTTCTTCGAAGCTATACAAAACAACTAATCTACCACGTTTTTAAATCTCGAGAAAACTGTAGCATGAATACCGACGGGCATCCATCATGTTGAGGCCACCTGTCAATTATAACATCAACCCGATGATTAATCCAGGTCAATATATTTATTAAAGAGGAAAATATTTATAGATTATTTATTTGGCCTTCGCATTTGTCACGCGCTCTCTCAAAGTCGCTTGTATATTTGGAGATAAGCTCGTGAATAGCTTACTGAGACATAATAGATTTAAAAAAACACATGCCACACCTTAACTCTAACCAGAAGACATCAATACTGTATGAAGCTTCACATATAATCAGTATGAAGTAAGCTCAAAGCAGAACATAGCTAACATATGCAAAGTAGAGCCAATCAGAGGTGACGTACCATAATACGAACATCCAATCAGTAAACACCTACTATATCAGCAGTATCCAATCAAAGAGGACCTAGTTACCGAACGTGAAATACGAAATATGTAAAAGACGATAGAGGTTAGAGAAGGTTTTGTTTAACGTTTTTGAAACAAATATATATTATTACTAGTAAAAAGACCAATTGGTATGCATTGTAAACCGGATAATGACTGGCAAACATATTTGGAAACGCTGTTAGTTTATTATTATTTTACAAAATTACTTTTAAACGGAAGATATCCAGCTTAAGCAAAATATCGAAATGGAAATTATGTTCTGTTAAATTCAATTGTTAGTACATGGTAGGTAACTCTTGATTTGTATCACTCTATTTAAGTAAGAATTAATACCATTGGCCCCTTCCCTGTATCCCTTAATTAATTGTAACCCATACACAGGGGGTACAAGTAACCAATGATCCCCTATCACTCTCCAACCCCTGCCAGCATGTTGGATTTT